AATACAAATGTGTTACTCCCTATTTTAAAGCAACGTATATATTTTATTCGATTTTCATGTAACTTTGTAACAGGATCTTCAAAAACAATGTTCGCTGCCCTAAATATACTGAACCATACAGACCAAGCACCACCGAGAGACGAAATCATTTTCTCCACTGGACATATAGCGAAATGTAATACTTAAAGGCATCACGCTGTACTTATGCCAAAGCTTATTAATTCGTCTGTTAACAGTCTAAATGCGTCAATGAGAGCAGTACCTGTAACACGCGATATAAAGTGAATAGTTTGTTTGTTCTAAATACGTCTTCAACATTGTTAAGCTATACTTGAGGCAATACGTGTCAGTGGCCTAAACGCCTAGGTCAACTTAACCTCCAATGATTCTCGAAATATTTTTAAAATATGCCCCTTAAATGGTTAAAGTGCAAAATTACTTTTGTTATGGTAGCCTTTTAGAGCACTCAAAGCAATTTCCCGTGAGCCTTAGATATATGCGCGGTGATTTCATGGTGAACGGCTAAGACGGTGAACGGTTAAGACTGTAGCTTATTCTTTGGTGCATTCTTTGGGCTTGAACTCGTAAGCAACCCCCATCAGACACAAAAGCTCGCGTTCAGCTTTTTCAAAAATGTAATCAAAATTTCTAGCATCTCTTCACTTTGTAATGTTAACAAAAATGAATTATCTCACTGAGAGAGCATGGATATGCTACTATTTCTCAAAATTCATTTTTTTTCGGAATCTATTCTTCGTGGAAATTTTAACAGAGCAATCCCTCCTTTAAATTATTTTGCACTTTTAAAAGGCCCAAACCTAAAAAGAATATCAAACGTCTAAATGGGATCGCGAATGAGATTACCACGTTTTAGAAAGGGGTTTTTGGGATGCCTTGAGCTATAATTTTTGCGCATGTCTTTAGAACGAGTTAAACTGCGAAAAACAAAGGCCTCGTGGTAATTTCAGTACATACTCGAATTTGATAATTCGAATGTATTGACAGTCAAGGCGGGCAATAGGGGTAGCGCGGCTGGCTGGGTGCGTTTTCTAATTGTGCAGTTTATTGAGTGATGTACCCTGTGCCTATGGAATCTAAACAGATAATTGAAATATTTCATACGATAATGAGTTTGCACAGTGATCTTTGAGGTTATTTTTTCCTTATTTCGTGAATCACGATCCTGTCGTGACAGGTTATCACGCGGTCTATGATATCATAGATGTTATGTCGATAAACGAGGTCAAATATTAAACATTACGTCCAAGTACATCGAGGCATCTTGCGCTTCTTAATACAAAGGTTGCCGTGAGAACATAAAGTATTCCACTACAAAATTACGACAGCTGGAAAAATGTTAATATAATAGTTACCCTTATGACATTTAACTATCTCCTTTCCAGATGTAGATTTGTTCCTCAGATCTTCGGCATTGTTTACAGCTATTGACGTTTTTTGGTGACGGCACAGCCTGTGCCTATTACACACGAGGACTGCTGGCCGGTTTGTGCCTCCAGCGCCAACTGGCGAGAGTATTTCCATTACAAAACTGGCCATCTACCAACCGTAGGGCCTGACCCTGGGCCATTGTGGCGTAGTTTGATTATTGTCCTATTTAAGTAATATAATCTGATTTGACGTAGATGGTTTTACGTATACATTCACGAGAAGTAGTGTTGTAACTGTTGAGTCAATGCGTCTAATGAAACTGCAGTGTAATAACTTTGAGTTGTGGAAGGATATTTCGAAAAAATAAAGATCGCAGCCTCTACCACCGTCGGTCCAAATAAACCCACACACTAGTTGCTTGCTGTCCAAACACTGTCCGCAGTCTTTTCACCTTACCACATTTGTCTTTGATATGGTTTATCATACAAGACTGGTTATGAAGTCTACCTTGAAGGTTATGACCTCCGGTATGGAAAATGCCTTCTCTTTCCTGGTGCCCATTATCCATCAAGGCCTCATACAATAGGAAGTATCTGCTTTCGTCCGCCTTTATCGTTAAATTTTCGCCCACGAGTATACCTCCATCGCCATTTCGACAGTTTGGTCGTACGTAGATTCTCCGTCGGCTTAAAGTCTGTTCGCTATGTATATAAAACTTAATATGCTACTACACTTTCAAACACGTTTCATTTGAACTAAACGCACACCTTGTTCATGCTTTTTATATTTCTTGACGCCGATATTTGTATGCTAATTTGCTTTGGTCTGGCGTGAAAAATAAAGGTTTCCTGCTAAACCACCCATATAGTTGCATAACTAAACATAAT